CAGTCTTTATTTACCAGCCTACCAGTGGAAGACTGTATTGAAATAATATCTAGGAAGCTACTAGATCACAACATGTCAATAGAATACATTGAACTCTTAAAACACTGCCTAACATCCGGCTATCTACTGTGGAATGGTGAATTCTACAGGCAAGTGGATGGAGTGGCCATGGGTTCGCCAGTCTCCCCCGTCGTAGCCGACATCTTCATGGAGGACTTCGAGGAGACTGCTCTGAACACATCACCCGTGACCCCTCGTTTCTACAAGCGGTATGTAGATGACACTTTTACAATATTACCTTCTGATAAAATAACTGTATTCTTAGAACACCTTAATTCTATAAATCCTAAAATTAAATTTACAATGGAATTAGAATCGGACAAAACCTTAGCTTTCCTAGATGTATTAGTTAAACGTAACCCAGATAACACCTTGAATCATACTGTGTATAGAAAGAAGACCCATACTGATAGGTACCTGAACGGTGAATCTCACCACCATCCTTCACAGTTAGCTACCGTGGGAAAATCTCTGTTTCAGAGAGCGCGCGGGATCTGTGACGAGCAACACCTGGCCGGAGAACTGCAACATGTCAAGCAAGTTCTGCGTGACAACAAGCTGCAAGTGCCGCGCCTGCGTCACAGTGACCGAGTGAAACCAGCCACAGTCGAGCGCGTCCCTGCAGTCTTGCCATACATGAAAGGAGTCACTGACAAGATTGGCTACATTCTAAAGCGAGCTTCAATTAAAACTTACTTCAAGCCGCCAAAGAAAATTAGTCAGTTCTTACCACCTGTCAAGTGCCACATCCCTCTACAAGATGCAGGAGTCTACAAGCTTGATTGTGATTGTGGGCTCTCTTACATTGGACAAACAAAGCGATCCATTAGAACCCGGGTCAAAGAACACATAGCTGATGTGAAGCACCGTCGCAATACAACATCTGCTGTCTGCAAACATAGCCAGGACCGCCCAAGCCATTATATTCGTTTCGATAGACCTCAAATCCTGGCGAAAGAAAACCGATATCGCCCTAGAATGATTCGAGAAGCCATAGAAATTAAAAAACATCCAAATTTCAATAGGGAAGATGGCTGGGTACTACCATCGTCATGGGATCCTGTTATTAATATAATAAAATCAAATAATAAATATAAACATAACAGACAGGCAGATGTAGTAAGTTCATACTGTGTAGATCAAAATGACAGCTTATCAGATTAATATTTTTCATTTGTAAAAGTATATATTAATAGTGTTGCTTAGTAAGTTGTTTTTAAATAATAGCAAACTAAATTAAAATGATTATCCGTAATTAATTTTAACTTTTTAAATTACACATAGAACAATTATATGGCTTTAATAATTAATACTATATTTTTATATTTTTTTATTTATGGTTATAAATATAATAATGGCAACACTAAATATAGATTACTAATTAATATTTTTAAAATTGTAATAATTATAAAAATAATAGCAAAAATTAAATAAATAATTTTCCATATTCAATTATAATTAAAATTATAAAAAAAATGTTTAAAGTTAAAAATATTGTAATGTAATTGGTGCAATTTTCATTTTGTTAATTGTGGGTAGGCTGTCTGTAACAACTATATCTTTAAGACATGTAACACCTCAGTCTCTCCCGTGACCATGGATGCTGTAAAGCATTCGAAACGTCGGGAACCAAAAATCAAAATAAATCCGCGAAATAATCCGAAAAGATAGTTTTATTTAAAAATGAAGGAGACGGGTTAGAAAATATCTAGATATAAATAATTTGTAAATAACATACGACAAAATCCACGTAATACCGTTGCATTCCTTTTCATAACAAAGAGCAATTTCTCAGTTTAAGGTATTTATCAAGGGAAAATAATTACCGCAATATCTATAAAATATTTTATTTTTATTCAGCAATGCTTTAATATTGCTATGCTAAAGTAAACATGTCATTTAGTCTAACGTGTTTGGTTGTTATGTATGACAGTTTAAAAATGTACATAATTATTATAAGTACAAATACGTGGAACATAAATAAACAAATAGGTGTATCTGTATAAGTAGGTATATTTATCTGTAATAAACTCATTTTTGTATATATTCACTTAATCTGTTATAAATTATTTATTTGATGTTATAATGAAGACGTAAATTACAATAATTATCCATTTTAAATAACTATTTAAATAAAGTAGCTAAACGTAAGAAAGTATAACGTAGAACGTACCGTTGCGCTTGCGCATATCAGCGTGATGTAACTCGTGTTCGCGGCTCGCGCAAGGTCGTCTCGCTGAGCTGCGACCGGTTCTCTGATGGACATCCGATGTGAAAAGTTATATTTTTAACTAGCACGTTACTTCGGCTTTTCTAGATTATTTTGACACTCGTTTTGCATAAAAGCTTTTCCCTTCCTCGGGACTTAAACTTAATAGATTTTTCCTTAGCAATTACATACATAATTTGTTAGTATGCTATTATAAGAATATGATGACAAATTCTATCCCCCTAGATCCGAAATTTGGGTATGGTCTTGGCCTGGGTGACAATCGATTGGTCAGTAAAACTTTAAATGTATTACCCTGTTGAAAAACACCAATAGAATCACATCAAAAGCGACAAACGCCACATAGAAACCAATAAATATTTATTGGTTTCTATGTGGCTTTTGTCGTTTTTGATGGGATCCTATTGGAGTATTTAAATAGGGTATATAGAAGACAAGAGACTTATTCTAGCTTCACTCGATTTGGCGTTGTTACTACATATTTTATTATATTATATTGGTAGATTTCCTTCTTAATATCACCCACGAAAACACATAAATATTAATATATATACCAGAATACTGATATACCACTAAGTTCTGTCCACATCATAATATTATCTATATCTATAATAATAGAACTGTCTGATGACGGAGTGTGTTTTTTCTTTCTTATTTAGAAATAAGAAAGAAAAAACACACTCAGTTACATGTATATATTTATTAATTTAAATAACAAACATTCACGTGTGGACTTCTTCGATATGTAACAATAATTAATCAACCCAACGACGAATTTCTCTTAAAAAAGTATAATAATAGAATATTTAAAAATTTCGTAGCCGAGTATACTTCCACTATAAATTACGTAGTTCCTTTTCGTTTTGATCACGGAAACTTATGACATAAAATTATTATTTTTATGAAGGATTGACAATAAAAAATCGTGCAAGTGCAAACATGTATTGCGCATCGCGTGTCCGTACCAATATGCCTACAATAATTGTATTACTGTTTCGACAAAACTTTGAAAATATAGAGCTAGAAATAAGAGAAGTGATGGTGATTTTAATAAATTTAATAAATAAATAAAGAAACTAGAAAGTCGTTTAGAAACATCCATATGACTTTAAAAGGCTTATCCAAAGATCATCTTATAGCTAACATTTTGGCCTTTATATAAGCCATCCCATTTTTAATTATTGAAAAATATTTTTATAATGTGTGTTTATCATTAATATTAATGCGTTTAATATTTATATAATATTAACTATATAAATTAACAATTTATTTCAAATTTAGGAAATAGTATTCAATTTTTTATTTATTAATAATTAATCATATCCAAAACCATTCTTAAATTGCAATTTCAAAATGTGTATTTACATGTATAAAGTTATTTCGTATTAGATTCTTTGTTTTAAGAATTAAAAGAGAAATAGTCCAAGACACGCTTAGAGAGGTGAAACCTTAGAAACATTGCGTTCTGAATACTTAATGAAGATTAAGAGCGCTTGCACTAGCCATATTTAACGCCGAATGCCTTTAATCAGTATTTAAATGTGTATCAGAAATGTTTATTTATACGTTTGTAATACATTTATAGGTAAAACTTACTTGTTTGGATCGGGTGCGTCTCTAGGTGATTTTATTTATTTTTATTTATTTATTATAAAGGTTTACTAACTAAATTTACATAAAACATTTATTTAACATTATAATTTTACCTATTTGTATATAAATTTAATTTAAAAGTATGCACAGCTTTTTATAGAAGAATTCCATTAAAATTTTATGTGGTTTAGATATATTGCGGTTTAGGTATATTATTTTTTTGTATTTAAAATATTATATAGACGCTGCGCCATCTTTTGACGTTTATTTTAACTAACATTAGCCTACTCGTATGTGTTACCCCAGGTTACAATTTATACACAGCCTTTTTAGTAACATTCCACTGCTGGGTATTGGCCTCTCTTCACTACGAGGGGGGTCACATACATACTATCAGGCCATAGTTCACCACGCTGGCCAAGTGCCGGTTAATGGCGGATTTCACATGTCTTTCGAAAACTTGCTAGGTTCTCTCAGACATGCAGGTTTCCTCACGATGTTTTCCTTCACCGTAAGGCAAGTTGTAATCATATTAAAAATGATTCGCACATGAAAATATCAGAGGGGCAAGATCCGGGATTTTAACCCGCTTCACTCGGTTTCCCAAGCGAGAGCGTTACCACTGGGCTACAACTGCCTGTTACATACTACATACATATTATTACACATAGATAATTATTACTTACATTTATAAGCCAATTAGAATAAGTCCCTTAGCACCAAAATTAATATTTAAGAAATATCAAATTATGATGTTTTACGTTTACTATTTATTATTTCAAATTGCTTTAAATGAGTTCAAGTATTTAGAGAAAACAGTGCAGTTTTTTTCATTATGACACAGTTAATATAAACAAAAATTCAACATGAAATTATTTATTTTTTAAATTTTATAAAATATATACTTACAGATAATGTAACTTTACAATAGAATAAATTAATTATTATTAATATACGAAAACTACCGCTCACTAATTATATAATCTATTATATAACACTCAAAATCACATATTTATAAGTCAACAACAACTAGAATCAATCCACTTATTTATTTTTATAAAGAAAATGCAGGTCTTTTGTTTTGCACTTTTTTGTTTTTGCATATAACATTTAATTATACCAACATAAAATATTGCTCCACTTCGTCAGAATACAATGATTTTTCAGGTTCTATTATTACATTAGCATCTAGTATGGATTTTGTTGGGGCAACCGTACTTAATGCATAAAATGACCCAGAATTGTCGCTCTCAGGATATGCATCCGTTGTAAACTCTTCATTAGAAAAGAAAGTATCATCTTTTAACTTATCAATATTCTCTTGCTTTTCATTTTCTGAACCTTTACTACTGTTTTCAAATAATATTTTTTCTTCATCGGAAATTCTGCTTTCAATATATTTAACATTTTCGTTACAAATTAATGGATTATCTGATTTTACGTTGGTATAATTTATGTTTATTTTGGGTTCTTGTGTTGTAGAATTCTGTTTTATTTGACAAAATGAATCAGGAGATTCCTCATGATGCAAATATTTTTCATAGTTATCTATTTCTTTAGGACATTGAAGATTTTCGAATAAAATATCATTAAGTTTTGCACTTAACACTGATGTAATTTTTTCATTGAATCTATCAGTATATGAGTTTACTGAGTCTCCAAACAATTTAAATTTGGTTTCATAATCCCGGTCAAAATCATTTATCCCTTGATTAGAAGACTGTAAATTATAGTTCACCATTGGTAGTTCAATATTTTGTGAAAGGCACTTATCAGCTGTAGTTTTTATTATTGATGACATTTTTTCGTTGAATTCATCAGCATATAGTTTTACTTGGTTTTCGGTGTTTTCTAATGTTCGATTAAATATATTCAAAGAATTTTCTTCAATATTTGCTTTTGGTGAGTTTAAATTATGCATTTCAGCCTCTTTTGGACATTGAAGATAACCGAATAAAATATCATTAAGTTTTGCACTTAACACTGATGTAATTTTTTCATTGAATCTATCAGTATATGAGTTTACTGAGTCTCCAAACAATTTAAATTTGGTTTCATAATCCCGGTCAAAATCATTTATCCCTTGATTAGAAGACTGTAAATTATAGTTCACCATTGGTAGTTCAATATTTTGTGAACGGCACTTATCAGCTGTAGTTTTTATTATTGATGACATTTTTTCGTTGAATTCATCAGCATATAGTTTTACTTGGTTTTCGGTGTTTTTTAATGTTGGATTAAATATATTGAAAGAATTTTCTTCGATACTTGTTTTTGGTGAGTTTAAATTATGAATTTCAGCCTCTTTTGGACATTGAAGATTACTGAATAACATATCATTAAATTTTGCACTTAACACTGATGTAATTTTTTCATTGAATCTATCAGTATATGAGTTTACTGAGTCTCCAAACAATTTAAACTTGGTTTCATAATCCCGGTCAAAATCATTTATCCCTTGATTAGAAGACTGTAAATTATAGTTCACCATTGGTAGTTCAATATTTTGTGAAAGGCACTTATCAGCTGTAGTTTTTATTATTGATGTCATTTTATCGTTGAATTCATCAGCATATAATTGTACTTGGTTTTCGGTGTTTTTTAATGTTGGATTAAATATATTGAAAGAATTTTCTTCAATACTTGTTTTTGGTGAGTTTAAATTATGAATTTCAGCCTCTTTTGGACATTGAAGATTACTGAATAACATATCATTAAATTTTGCACTTAACACTGATGTAATTTTTTCATTGAATCTATCAGTATATGAGTTTACTGAGTCTCCAAACAATTTAAACTTGGTTTCATAATCCCGGTCAAAATCATTTATCCCTTGATTAGAAGACTGTAAATTATAGTTCATCATTGGTAGTTCAATATTTTGTGAAAGGCACTTATCAGCTGTAGTTTTTATTATTGATGTCATTTTATCGTTGAATTCATCAGCATATAATTGTACTTGGTTTTCGGTGTTTTTTAATGTTGGATTAAATATATTGAAAGAATTTTCTTCAATATTTGTTTTTGGTGAATTTAAATTATGAATTTCAGTCTCTTTCCTACCCAATAAATTTTCTTCAGAGCATTTGCTGTTATTTAATACAATATTATCAGCAACAAATTTTATTATTGCAGACATTTCGTCATTAAATTTGTCCGTATATGAATTTACTATATTTTCCGAACGTTTGAGTTTTGCTTCACAGTCAGAAGCAAAGAAATCATTATTATTACATACGTTACTTAAATTTGTTTTCGTGTGTAAAATTTCACTCCCTGATGCTGGTTTTAATAGGGATATCATTTGATTGTTAAACTTATCAACATATATACTTATTGAGTCATCTATGTCCGATTTTTGTGATTCGTAATTGTCTTTGATACATATACTATCTTTATTTTTCAGTAAAGTTTCATTACTTTTATTCATTGTTTTTATAAGATTATTTATTTGTTTATTTTTTAGCATCATGTAGTTTTTTTTAGGATCTGAATAAGACTTGGTTGAGAAAGATAGTACTGATTCAGGAAGGCATTGTTTTTTAAAATTGCTCGTTAACCCTTTATGAGTGAACGTGTGGTTTAGATTTGAGTTTATGATAGGCTGATTTTCGCAAATTGTATTTACACTATTTGGACAGTTCCAATAATTAGGTTTCCACAATTCATTAGCTGTTAATGGATACTCAACATCCGAAAATTTTCCAAAATCCCGAAAATTTGGAGCAGATGAAAATTCTTTTTCTATATTATTACTTTTAAGATTAAAATTTCGTTCTGCATAAGAACTAGAACTAAATTTTGTTCTTAAGGGCGCCAATTTATTATTTTCTGGAAAATCAAAAGGATTATTTGAAGCCAGAGAATATTCCATCTCAGGAAAATTAAACATTGTGTAAATTGGCTCGTTGTTTAGTGTTTGGCATGAAGGTTGCGATATAAAAGTGTTTGCCGGTAAATTTCCCTTACCGTAAGGCTTGTTAGTTTGTGGAAAGCAATATATAAATTTTATCTGTAATAGAAAAATAGTAGACGTTATACGAATGCTTTATAAAACTAGTATTAATTACTTTTTCATATCTTTTTATGAGTATAATTTATTGTAAATTAGATTAATAGCATTTATTTATATATTTTTATATTCTTTATATATAATAGAGTTCAAATAGTTTCCCGAAATTATTTTAACATAAAAATAGCAAACAAAAACATACCTGCACAATTATTAGCACAAAAAATATACGTTTTCCACAAAACGTCATGATATATACATATTAAATAAATTATCATACTGATTTTATATTACGCACTTTTATAAGAAATAGATACTTTAATCAGACGTGATATTTCGATCTTAACAAAAAAGCCTATCTAAAAGCCTATGTGTTATAAAGTTTACGTAATAGATTCAGATGTTTTAATATTGTTCATTAAAATTATAAATATTGAGTAAAATCTCTATATCTTCCTGATATTGATAATTTTCGGAACTGTATATATAGTACGTATAGTACATTTTACACGATATTAACCAGTTTTCTTTGAATGGTTTAGGTATACATATTATATACATATATCAAAATTGACCTCATTTATCTATTCTAATATTATAAAGAGGAAAAAAATGATTTTTTGTTTGTTTGTATCGAATAGGCTCGGAAACTACTGAACCGACTGATTAGATGAATTTTGGTAAGAAGATAGTTTGAGACCCTGGGAAGGAATCGGATAGTTTTTATACCGGAAATCATATCTTAAAGGGGTGAAAATGGGGGTGAAAGTTTGTATGGGGAATCAACCTAGGGACGAACCCAAGCGAAACGAGTGTATGTCGCTAGTTAACAATATAAAATATGGATATGTTCATATGAACATAGATAACAGAACATATTTTGCTAAGAAAAACGCACCAATATGAATTAAACATTTCCTAAACAATTTAATAATCATCATCTTTGTTAGCATTGACACTATATAACGTAATGTTGCGTATATTGTCTTCAGATAAAAGTTCACGTAAATTATCAATAACATATAGATCTGTGAAGTTTTTTACATGTTGCAATTCCGTCGTATTTGTTTCACAGAGAGTATCAAGAGAAATAATTAAATCTAGGAAAAAATCTTCATCTTGTACGCCACTGTTATTAATATTCGTTATATAAGTATCATTGTTACTATCATCTATACTTGTGTTGCTTTTTAAATATATAACTAACGGTACTGTGTACACGTTTGTAGCATTATTTTCTGAATCATCTTCGGAAAGGGGCGCAGAATAGTTACTGGCATTATATTTAGAAATATTTGAAGGTAAATTGATAAGTAAATCTATTAGGGAATCATTCACTGTCCATGATAATTTTTCAATAGGTAAAAATAAAGTGTCATCAGTGATGTTTTCCCTTTCAAACGATTCAATTGAAGAATAAGATGGCGGGCCATTAAAATTTTCGAAACTAGTTTCATTTATTGTTGCCAATTCATTTTCAAAGAGCTTAAGTTCTCGTTCTATTAAATCAATATTTCGTAATATTGTGCCTTTTTCTATTAAAGTTTCATTCTTTTCTTCATTCATTGAATCGTCGACTATTATACCTGGGCCTAAAACGAAATCAATGTCTTGAATTGGATTAATTTGTTTTCCTGGATTGTTTCTAAAAACTTCTATACTTATTTTTACTTCGATTGGTACTTTGGCTTCTGAATTTTCCGATTTTAATTTATTTTTCTCTTTAAGTGAATCTTCGTCATCGACATTTAAGTAAGCCATGCCATTTTCACATTCTTTACTATCTACAATTGAAATAAAATCGCATTCTTGTTTATCAATCAATGTTGTTTTATTATAAACATTCTCTATAACTTCTTCCACAACTTCTAAAACGGTTTCATTCGTACACCAAGAGGGCGAAAAAGATAAATTGCTGTTCGCTACTGACTCGTTCATTTGCTGCTCCTGTTCTATGAAACTCATATCGTAATAATTATCTTCGTTAGATACTTCTGATACATTTTTCTCATGGCTTTCATTGCATTTTGATATTTCAATTATATCTTCTTCAAAATTTACTACTTTATCCATATTATAATTTATTTGAGATTGTGAAACATTTTTCTGAATTTCATCGTCATAATTTGGTGTTCTATTTTTACTTGTTGTCTTTTTTGTATTAGAACTTATAGATTTATAAGATGATTTAACATCCTCTGAAAATGGACCTAAAACTTCATCGTATGCATTCACTCTAAAAAAAAATGGCTGGGCAACATCTAATATATTAGTTGGGTAAATAACATCTGGAAAATAATTTTCCTTGATGACTTTTGATTGATCAGACGAGGTATCTGTGGGGCTTAATTTTAGTAATGGTCCCGAATCGCCTAAATTACCATTCAAACTCTTTCTACTAAAAGATTTTGCGGAAGTTCCTTTTGGATATATTTCATCGGGTATATGAACACACGAGGTAACCTAAAAATAAAGAATATTATTATAGTAAATTACAAATGTTATGCTTTTTTAAATTATATTTAATAAAACTACTCACATTAACTGCTATAAAAAGCATAAAATAGATAAGAAACATTGTGGTACTATATTTCACATGAGTAAGTTACAACTTCGGATACCGAAATAAAAATGAATATGCTTAAACAGCTCTAATATATCTCTAGCTCTATTTTTGTAATTTTATACTAGTAACCTTTATTATATTACAAAACATTCACATTTGAAGTAATGTATTGCAAGATATTGAATTATTATCTTATCTTCGTTTAATATTGCACATAGAAATATTTCAACAAGCATTACTTAAAAAAAAAACTTTACAGTTTTATTTTTGCATTGAAGGAGTGACAAAGATAAACAAATAACTTGTAAAAATTGTAACGTAGCTAATAAGAATAATAGTTTTTTTTAATTTACTGTATCTATTTTCGAGACTACCTTAGTCTCCTCTTTCAAACTTAATAGGCGAATGGATACACGACACTACTTGATACTCAAAAATATTCAAAACTAATACTAAATCAAATAAAAGTAGCTAATTTCATTACGAAGTAAACTTTAGTTAATGAAATGAACTATCTCTTTCGTTTAATTTTGTATCAAAAGTTAAATTTTCTAAATAAAAAACACAGAAACACGAATTGCAATATTCTTTATTCATCGTATGAGTTGTAGCATTGGCAATGTATTCATTCAGCATCGTCCACATCCACAACATCCACTACAGCATCCACAACAGCATCCGCAGCCGCCGTTAGCATACGGTATCGGTACAGGGGGACCATAGCCACCGTAACCACCGTAGTCTCCTCTTCCACACATAGTCAAGAGGAGAATGGGCAGAATCATTTCCCAATCGTCGTCATCATCATAGCCTCCATAGCAACCGGGAAAACCAAATCCGCCATTATAAGGCCCGAAGAATTGACACTGTGCCCAGTGACACTAAAAAATAAATGATATATACATACATATTAATTAACTAAAAAAGTTAACTGAAAAGTAATTATTATGTAACATTAATCAAAAAGGCAGTGGTAGCCCAGTGGTAACGCACTTGCTTGGGAAACCGAGTGAAGCGGGTTCAAATCCCGGGTCTCGCACCTCTGATATTTTCATGTGCGAATCATTTCTAACATGATTACCACTTGCTTTACGGTGAAGGAAAACATCATGAGGAAACCTGCATGTCTCAGAGAACCTAGTAAGTTTTCGAAAGACATGTGAAGTCCGCCAACCCGCACTTGGCCAGCGTGGTGGACTATGGCCTGATTCCCCTCGTATTGAAGGGAGGCCCGTGCACAGCAGAGGGACGTTAAAAAGGGCTGAATACAATTAATTACACTTGTCAAGATTATAAGAAGTAGGTATAATGAATACTTAATATTATTATAAATGATAAACTATTTTTTTCGTTTGTTGTTCCGTTTCACCGCTAAAACCACCCAAAAGATTTTGATGAAATTTGCAAGGACATAGATTGCATGCAAACGGATATTTACGGATAGGGGATGAATTTTATCCGTTTCCCGCTTACCATGCGAGCGGATACGGTTCAGTATAGCGGGATATACTGAATGAAATTCATTTGAATTCATGAGATAATGAAATTCCTTTTGAGAACATAAAAATTATTAAAAATACCACCTTACCTTAAGCAAGAAAAGCAAAGCTACTACAAGGATGACCTTCTTGGAAGCCATTTTGATCGTTTGTTTTGAATTTCACAAGCAACTGTTTTTATATGAATAATTATTATATTCAGTTATCACATTAATGTTATTGACCAATATGCTATGGTTTTGTAACTAGAAGATATGTCAACTAGGGCACGTAGGAAGATGTCCTTGAACTTAATGTTAGCAATATTTATATACATACACGTGTTCTAGTGTCTAAACTAAGCCAGTATACATAAAAACCAAATGTTGATAATCTTACGGAAATCGTATTTTCTTGCTGTGACTTTATTATTATTCGTGGTTTATGCGTTTTATTCGAAAACTTGTTTAAACTAAAATACTTTAGTGAAAATGAATATCTTTTAATCAAGTACTTATTGACCACGCATTAACAAAACCTAGATACAGATAATTAAAACTTTTCAATCGTAGAAGATAGTTCGGAAACTTTCAAGTTACAATCGCTAAGATTATACAATAAAAGACTGAACACTCTATAAGAAGAAAACCTTTTTTAAATCATAGCTACGTACTTATATGGGTTCAGGATATCAATCTCGACATTGCCGAAATTAATCCGGAAGGCAGTAAAAAATTGCAAAAATGAACGTAAAAGGCATGTAAACCTACATAATACTGGTAAGTATTATTTATTACTTCTTTATATTCATATATATATATATATATATATATATATATATATATATATATATATATTCATATTCAGTAATAATATACTTTATACTCAGTAAACGTGACCAACGCACTAAATAGGAGCTTAGAAGAAGACTGTTTATTAATATTAGACTAGCGACTCACCCTCGCTTCGCTCGAGTTCGTTTAGGTACGTTTTAAATTAAAATGGATATAGTATGTTATCATTAAGAGATAGACATATGCCATCGCGGACTTTTCTGTAGACCTATATAAGATACACAATTCCACCATACATTATTTTGTTATATCTCAAAGGGTTTAGGCAGCATTTTCGTTGAAAGCTCCCAGACGTCTTATTTTTTCCAACACCTCCAACAAATATCGTTATATTTTAGCCAATGTATACAAAAACTTAACAAATTATATGCTAAAACCTTCCTCTTGAATCACTCTATCTATTAAAAAAACCGCATCAAAATCCGATGTTGTTTTAAAGTTCGTAGTTTTAAAGATTTAAAAGCATACATAGGAATATAGGGACAGAGAAAGCGACTTTGTTTTATACTATATAGTGATATTATTATACTGTTATTTTTGATTTTATTATTATTGTGTAGATTGCTAATATGCTCGCTTAAAAAGCCAAGTGAAGCGGCCTAAATGTTTACGACAATTTTAATTGTTTCGTAAGACGTGGGAAGTCCGCCAACCCGTATTTGGACATTATGGTGGATTATTGCCTAATCCTGGCCACATTGAGAGAAGGCCCGTGTCCAGAAGTGGGACTATAAAGGTTTAAATGTAGATTATAGTGATCACATGGAAGAACTTAAAATAAATATGCCCTCCAAACGTTCTAGAGTAATGCGCGACATAACGACAGAGAAACTTATAGATTAAAAATAAGTATTATATCCTAAACATTGTAAAAGCAAAATTAAAAAAATCTTATGTATAACTTTAGCCCAGTTACAATTTTACTATATGTATAGATTGTTTAGTAATTTAAACAATTTTAGTTACATAATCCTTTTTTTTTTTTTTTAACGTTGGGAAATGCATTTACGCACGAGGTGTGGGACTCACCGGCGTAATAAAGCCAGTACTACCCACTAAAACCCAACAAAACCTTCCCCCGTCTTAATGGGGCGTCGCAGGATCGCTTACGCATTCAACTACGACGCCCCGACGGCAGGTCTGCCGAAGCAGACCACCACAACCATGGGGTTGCTCCAAAGTCCACTCTGCTATCAGAGAAGTACCAGGAGCAACCCACATGGTACACCGCCCACCGAAGAGGGCTACCTCCCTGTGCGTTTCTTGGCTTCGCGCCCGGTTGGGTTGCCGGGCACTACTGAGCCCCCCCACCACGACAAGGTGAACGCACGTTGGGGGGGTAGTTACATAATCCTGTTTAAATCACTTCAGTAAAAACTTGATAAATTGAGTGTAATTTTCTGGAACAGTCATCCTTTTTGTGGGAGACCTAAGCATTTATCACGTTCAATATGACGGAATCGTTAGGGGTGAAATGTTGTAATGAACGACTTTTGTTTTTTTTATTTACAATGGTATTACACTTAACCTCTTCCAAAAAAGATTTCTTCCAAAAAAAATTTAATTGTTACAATACGTTAATTTGAAGTCTGTAATATGATAAAAGGTAATTAACAATTATGATTGACCAATAAAGATATAGAAGAAAAAGCTATTATAAAAAATACCTGGTAACATTTATTAGTAGCTACTTAGCTAGTACCTATAGGATTCAGAAATAAGATATCGTCGTTGTTTCTTAGCACTCCAAATACGAATACCTGTTATGTTTAATTATATTTATCCAGGATTGATTAAAGGAGGATGTTTGTTTTTGTTTATAAATGTCAAACCTACTGCCAATCTTCGTTATATTCAATTATTTAATTTTCATATTTTTTTTACCCAAACATGTTTAAAATATCTGTAAAAGACAATAACTGAACAATCATGAAAACTTAAAATATATTATACTAGCATTGCCCGCGGCTCCGCTCGCGTTTAAATGACCAAAAACCAAATTCTTAGGTTTTACATATTAGTGTACTCTTACATTACAGCTTTTGTATTTTTTCTCAGAAATGAGAAATTTCCCCGGGGTAAAAAGTATCCTTTATGTTGACCCGGATAACCAGCTATCACCATACCAAATTTCATCAAAATCCCTCTAGTGGTTTTTCCGTGATGTGGTAACAGACAGACAAACAGACAGACAGACAAACTGACAGACAATAATTCTAAAAACTATAGATTTGGCCTCTGTATCGAAATAATGTTTATTTCAATAAGTTTTTCCTAAAAATATCTAATGTACAGATTCGGCTTAGTTACAATTTTATTATATGTATAGATAAATATATAAAACTAGTAATTAGTTTCATTCAATAAATAAATAAAACAATGAAGTACATCTTTACTTATAATAAAATTCTAACTGAACCGAATCTGTACATTAAATTTTTTGTGGAAAATCTCATTGAAATAATCATTATTATCGACATAGAGGCCGAACTATAGTTTTGAGAATTTTTGTCTGGCTGTTTGTCTGGGAACGCATCACGACAATACCACTTGACACAGATTTTGATATGGTAATAGCTGGTTATTCAAGTCAACATATAGGATACTTTTTACTGCAGGAAAATATCACATCTCTGAGAAATCTATATTAAACCTTAAAATGTAACTAAGATATGGTTAAAATAGTAGGGTTTAATTATGTATACATAACTTATTATATTATTATTTAGATTTTTCGATTTATCTTCTATGGGCTTTATTTTTATTAAATAGAACTAGCGACTTTGTTACTAACTTAACATAGCTAATACAAATTTCATCCCCATTTCCACCCCCTTAAGGAATGATTTCCGGGATAAAAAGTATCCTATGTCCTTCCCAGGGTCTCAAGCTATCTTCTTACCAAACATCTAAATCGGTTCATTAGATCCAGAGATTACTTTCTACAACCTCACAAACTCACAAACTCACAAACTTTACCTCTTAATAATATTAGTATAGATTTAAAGATTAATCTGTACAAATAATAAAATTGTAACGAAGCCGAATCTGTACATTATTTTTTTTTTTGGAAAATCTTATTGAAATAAACATTATTATCGATACAGAGGCCGAATCTATAGTTTTTAGAACTTTTGTCTGTCTGTCTGTCTGTTACCGCATCACAGAAAAACCACTGGAGGGATTTTGATGAAATTTGGTATGGTGATAGTTGGTTTTTCGGGTCAACATATAGGATACTTTTCACCCTGGGGAAATGTCTAATTTTTTGAGAAAAAATACAAAAACTGCAATGTAAGTATACTCTTAGTATAGTAATATGTAAGACCTAATAATATGGTTTTTGGTCATTTGAACGCGGGCGGAGCCGCGGGCAATGTTAATATTTCGTATAAGATAAAAAACTTCTTTAGATCATCTTAAAATAAACCTTTAATTTATAGAAAACAACTTTCAGATAGGTTCATGTTATAAAACAATATAGTATTTTTAAGATTTATTTGATCAGACGATGCTGTAAATATATTTTTTAGGGCATTGTCGTCTTCCAAACATTTTAAAAGGATTAATAATATCGATGATATGAAAATATTACAAATGTGAAGATTTGTGTAATGTGTGACTGAGTTCGTGTGCTTGTTACTTATTTACGCTGCAGTTGACATAACCTAGATTTTTTCTTATAAACTAAAACTTTTAAGTAGATAAGTTTAGACTTGTTCATTTCTCTGCTTCAATAAATCAGGTAAATGACAATTAAATTAAGTAATAAGTTAAAAAAAAACCATATTTTAATAAAAATTGTTTATTCCATTAATTTCTGCAACGATCACATTTATGCTTAATGTTGCTGCAACTACACTTGTTACAACCACAATCCACACCACCACAATCAGAACGGCCATTTCCTGAACAGCATTTCGATCGTTCTTTTTTCCTTTTGTCACAGCTACAACAATTACAACAATAATCATTATAACAACTATCGCTGTTCTTACAATTACAACCTTTGTTTCTGCAACCACAGCATGAACAGCCATCGTTTTCGCAACAGTTGTCAAAATCACAATTATTACCATATGGAACAGGTATTGGATAAGGAACATATATTGGTTCATTATTCCCTCCATTGTTACCTCTTAACGAAGCAATAGCCGATACCAATTCAATCCATTCCCAACCGTCGTCATCATCATCATCATCACCAACAACTATGACAATTGGTTGTTGTGTGCCATCTGAATAAGCATAATAAGGATACTGTTTACAGTCATAAAACCCAGGAATGGAATAACCAGAGTATTCGTACACACCATATGGTGCATAAGAAGATTGACTGTAAGCATATGATGAATACGGGTCTGAGCAGGTCCCTGTGTAGCCACTCCACCACTGGCTTTGCACCAACTTAAACAAAATAAATAATGAATTCTATACCTATGTACTCGAATTATATGTATTCGTTATATTTACCGTCATCCACAAGAGCAATATTTGTAGAACTATTCGTATGAGCAACATGTCTTCTTTATTACAGTTGCTTGTGAAATAAGGGAATGAAATTAAAGTGTTCTTTTATATTCCCGATTTTTGTGTAATCTTGTAGTCACAATATATTTTAAAATATTTTGCCACATACAAAATTACGTGATTTTAATATTTCCGAGAAATTCGGTACGTTGATTATGTTGACAGAAAGGTATGGTGTGAAAATAACAGAAATATATACAAAATAAAATATTTATTTATTTCGATATATTTATTTGCAATTGTCAGCTTTAATTAATAAACTAATTTCGTTTCCATTCATTTGACAAGAGCATCCATCTTCTGACGAGGTCGTACCCGTCGAGTCATTGCATCCACATGTGAAGCCTGAGTAAGGGTAGTTCATTGGAACTGGTATAGGATATGGGACATAAGTAGCACCGTTACAAGGTCCATCATTATATTTGCACCCGTAGCTATCTTGATATCCACCGCAGTTACAACACCCACAACCTCCTCCACATCCACCACCACACCCGCAACCACCACAACATCCGCATCCACAACAACATCCGCATCCACAACAACATCCGCATCCACCACAACATCCGCATCCTCCACCGTATCCACCATAGCCATATGAAGATCCATATCCACCCCTATTCCTCATATTGGCAAATATTAAGAAGTACAAAAGATGATGCCAGTCGTTATCGTCATTATCCCCACAGAATACTGGCACTGGATGTGGAATAAATGGACCATTAAGACCATTAAAGTTATTAAAACCATTAAAACCATTAAAATTATAGAAGTCATTGTAGTTAGGTAAATTAGGAATAGATGGAGCTACGGGCTCGGGATAACACTCAACGGGAGCTATGAGAGGCTTGATGACCGCTGGAATGACGAATGACGGTCCAGTTGGTTGAATGTATGAAGTAGTTGAAACGGATCCTGGTTGCGAGATGAATTCCACTCGTTGGCCATAAGCATCATACCCCTAAAAATGATTATAAAAATAAAAACTAGACACAAAACATGTATGTATGAAGAATAAAAAGTTTCTTAATACTGTACCTCCGAAAAAATTAAAAATATAGCTAAAAATATTCGAGGCCACATGTTGGTGTAATTAAATAAACTATATTATTGCACTTCTTATATACACAATGGATTTCAAAATATAGGTTACTTGGTAATTTTACGTGATGTAATCAAAATATTTAAGATATAAGCACGTTTCAATGAATGTATAAAACAATATATTCCCAATATCTATTGACTAAAAGGATAAAAATAAAAAACTCATTTTATAAATTATTTATTTTATGAAAATTGTAATTTCTATTTAAAAAGAAATTGAATATAGTAAATAAGCAAAATAAAAAAATAACAGACTATTAACAATTTACTATTGGATTATTAATAGGAATTGGTATAGGATAAGGCATTGGAATGGTGTTAGATCCTGAATTGCAGTTACATCCGCATCCACATCCTCCACATCCGCATCCACATCCGCATCCACCCCCACAACCACCACCCCATCCCCTAAACCCTCCACATCCGCCACCATCAGCTAGTAACAACAGTAGTATCGGCAGAATGCAATGCCAGTCGTCATCATCATTATTTCCCATGTAAACGGGATACGGTACGTGCTGACCATAGTAACCAGGATACTGACATTGAACTATAATGACCTGTGAATAAATTATTAATTTATTATATAGGATTTTGTACAACTAGCATAGTTCACGCTGTTGTCTCACTAGTTTCACAGATTTTTTCTAAATATATTATATATAGAAAAAAATTTAATTTATAGGCCCGGTATTATGAACGCGCTTTATTTGAAACTAGCGACTCACCCTCGCTTCGCTCGGGTTGGTCACTAGGTAGCTTCCCCATACAAACTTTCATTCCCAATTTCACCCCTTAAGGGATGATTTTCGGGATAAAAACGAGCCTATGTTCTTCCTAGTGTCACGAACTAACTTCCCAAATTTCATCTAAATCGGTTAAGTAGTTTCGGAGTCTATTCGGTACAAACAAACAAACAAATGTTTCCTCTTTATATAGTATAGATAAACCACGACAAAAATTTTCGCTTCGTCCAACAATCCAAGGTGCAATCATCAGTATACAATTAAATAAACAATTTGAAAAAGTCAATATACCATTTACATAGTGCACTACAATGATTTAATCACCAAAGATTTAAGATACGTACGTACATTGTGTATTATATATGTAGATATAAGTATAAAATTTTACATTTTATTAAAAAGAAAGATATTATTTTAATTCCTTACATTAATATTAGCAAAGAAGAGAATGAAACTGAACCACCATAAGGTAGACATATTTAGCGTATTAAAATGAAATTATTCGGAACCGCTTTATATTGACTTTTATCTGATTTTGAAACCATACTTACAAATCAAATTTCTAAATATTATTATCTTATGTTTTGACATTAAATTATGAAAATATCAATCAAATATTATATAATATTAATGTCATATTATTATAATAATGTTACATAAGACCACTTCTTAATAGCAATTTTAAACCAGAGTTCTATTTTTAAAGCAACATTATTAGGTTCATTGTTCATATAGTAATTATAGATAGATAGATAGATACATGCTTTATTGTACACCACAAAGAAAACGATACGTTCCACAACTTGATGTGCTTAAAATAAAAGAAGTCATATATTTTTAACTTATTTATTAATGTAGTAGTCACAAAAAAAATGTTATAGTGATTATACCTTAAAGGTAATGTCAGACTTTTCCTTTTAATGCCATGTGCTTAAAACCCTCCATTCTTAGCGATCAGTAGAATGAGAAATGGTAGTATTTCTTCTAGATCGTTGTCTCTGTCTCGATACGGGCAAGGGATCGGTACCGGAACCGGAGTAGGCACAGGCCTCACTGGATTGCGTAACCCACAGCCACCACCATAGCTGCACACACCACCTTCTGTAATCTTCATTGAAGAAGATTTTGACAAAACCAAATGAAATGCAAAATAGTTTCAATGATAGGTTTAAGTTATTTTTTATTAAAGTAAAATTTTCATTCTTCATAATTTTTCCTATATACCTTTGTTTGACAAATAGAACTGCTCACATATATAAATCACAACCTACACAACCTTTTTAAATCTAGAAATCGAATTTTCAAATGGCAACATCGTACTTTTAAGTGGGTGCAATGTTACTTTCAAAGAACCGAATACCGATTTATATTACTTCGAAAGTGGCCTTTATTTCACTTCTGATGCTGGAACTAAAGAAAACAAAGAGTGTTGCAGCCATTTTTAAAAGTAAAGTTACACGTTGAAAGATTGAATGTTAAATTATAAATTTAAAAGTTTAAAACGTCGTGATCGAAAATCGAGAGGCATGCAACACTTTTCTTGTTTCTTTTTTAAAGTTCATAGTACAATACATATGCATGATTTCAATATGTATAAAACTTCTATCATATTTTCTAGTGTATCAACCTAATAATATTTCGTAAATAAAATAAAAAATGTCAGCTATATCCAAATACAGAATGTTTCACTATAAATTATTCAAACCCCGCACCACTTATGGATATATCAAATAGAAAGCTTAGTATGATATTAAAATTCTTTTTAAATTTTCTACATATACTTATAAGTCTTGAACATAAACGTATGATTCTTCGAATGTAAGGGATATTTCTGTAACTACAAAACCGAATCTACAGAAACTATCTCTAATGAAAAGCTGTATATTTTTCTTATAGACTATTTAAGCTAGTATTAAATTAAAGCTAGTATTAAATCTAGAAAATAGGTAAATCCCGTGAAAAATGCTTTAACTTTGAAATTTTGAATTAATAAGAGTATTTGAAAATGTCTGTCATATGTAGTTTAGATGCAAGGTCAGAGCGATCGGATGGAATAAAGCAATTGCTGAGAGAGGAAAACAAATTTGATGCTCGTTAAACTCTGAGATGATAACGAGATTCAATTTTAATTTCAAAAATGAAATATGGTTTAAACCGTTTTAGTAACACATCTGTATTACATTTAAAAATATACTTTTAATATTTAGATACATTAAAATTTAATAGATCTATAGATTAGTTTAAGACTTACATTTAACAAAACAAGAACGATGAAGGAAACAATCCACATTGCTGAATTCATTTTTGGAGAACAATTATGATTATTACACAACAGGATGGCGAGCTTTATACTATAATTTTATCTCTAAAATTCTTCTCTTTTATGTAAATAACGCCGTCTATGCCTGGCAAGTTATTAATGTTACACAGGTGTCAGTTATAAAACAAAGCTAAAACAAATAATGACTCACTTTGAGCACAAAATATCTACGTTTAGATTGCCGTTGACGTCATTTCTTGTGATTGACACACGTACATCTTAATTGATTTGGGTCAGTTCTGCCTGATGACTAGATGTACTTGATCATAGCTTAACTGTCATTGTAAATGTCAAGAAGAAGTCTGTGTTACTGGTTTATCCTTCCGCAATGAAAGAATTAACCAATAGCTCAGTATACATCATTACATACATACTTGCAAAAATCTTAAGGATTGTGGATGAGCAGTGTGTCATTAATATAGCTATGCATAATAAATTTCATTTTTTATTAGAAAATGTGATGTATTTTATGAAATTTTGCTTGTGTTGATATTGTATAACTGATTTGCTAGGAATAAAATAAAAATAAATCGTATTTATTTTAAATATTTATATTTTGGCTTTTCTTACTTTATTTAACAAAATAAGTTATACTCTATTTTTATTACATATATGTTAATATTAGGGTGGTAGATGCTAGGCGGTAGATTTTAATCTAATTATCCTGTTCTTCAGAGAATTCATCTGAATCTTTTTCATCATTTTCATTACTTTCCATGCTTTCGATAGGAATAGGACTTTTACTTTTGCACTTCTTATGTTCTCTGGCAATTCTCGGTATGTCTTCATTGGAATCGTTGTCGTGGAACATTTCATCTCTTAAACTGTAATCTCGCTTCCTTGAATAGTTGCCGTTGATTTCAGGCTCTACTTGTTGTTTTAAATTATTGTTTCGATTATATCTACAACAGTCATTGCACCCGCAATTTTGTCTTCTTTCCTTTATTAAGTCAAAAATAAGCGGTAAAAGAGATTTTAAACTAGTAGATTTAGATCCTGTATTTGTGTTATAAGTCCCATAGGGCACGTATGAATTACGACCGTAATATTGAGGGTAGCTTGTAGATTTCGGAGTTTGCAGTAAAGACAAAAGAAGAGATGTTAAATTATCGGATTCAAATATATCATTATTTGCAGCGATAGGGTTTTGAATATCTAGTGGGCTATTAGCTATACCAAAAACTTGATTTTGATAAGGTATAATATTTCTTCCTAATACCGATAAATTTGAAGTCGGTAATCCCGCTTGGTATTGTACAGGGTAAGATTTAACAATTTGTGTTTCAGAAATCGGACCAGCAGCAAATGTCCTAGCATAATTACTTTCTGAATTAGGGATAAAACCCACACATTGAGAGCCATAGTTGGATACTGGAAGGATAGACGAATAAGTAGATATATATGAATTCGGAGTTGGTATTGCTTGAGATACTTGCACAGGGATTTGTTGCATCATTGAGCCAATAGGAATTTGTTGGTAATTATTTCTAATCAGGGGTTGCGGATTAACCGATTGAACTGAAGCTTGCTGAATAGCAGGAAAGACAGACCCTGAAGTATCTTTTAATTGTGGCTGTTGAAAGTATGAAGATTGGGGTACATTTAAGGGTTGATAGGTAATGGGCAATTGTAATTCAGATAATTGGTTTTGTTGTTGGTTTACAAGTGGTGTTAAATTTTGTGATAAACTCAATGGCGGATTTTGTTGTACATTTGGCATTTGTTGTAATGGAAAAGACTGTTGTAGGGTTGGTGAAAGCTGAGATTGCTGTGAATTGTACTGTCCTATATTGTTAAAATTAAAGCCTTTTGAGAGATTGTCATTTTGAATTAAATTTTCATTAGCGCTCTTTATTCCGGCTTTGCTTGTAAGAGCTTGATTTAGATTTTGTCCTCCTATTGGATTGTTTATCAAAGTATCCATCTGTCCGTGAATAATCTAGAACAAAAAATAAAAAATATTAATAAGCAAAAATATAAAAATTAAATATATAACTAATACAAAGTTATATTTTTGAAGGTTAGTATTTTTGCATTACTTGTAAAAAAGAAAAAATGGCCACAATTTCTGCAGATAACTTGTATCTCGCCATGTCGATATATACAAAATAAAATGTGACTCTTACAGACAATTATATATTTCCTTCTTAAAAATCTTTAGTAATCGAGATATTTTTATCTTTGATTAGATATTTTATCTGATTTTGTTTAATCGCTACTTTAACAGTTATCAGTAATTTTATTACATAATGCAGCAGATATATGACGATTAAATATTTGATGTTACGAAATTCTTATGGAGTTATATGGTTATAGAAAATATACCTTATTTGTAGCACTAGACATATTATTAAGTACCGTTGAAAACTAGGGTACTTTCTTAATAATGCATAAAATAAACAATATAGGTTCTATTAGCATACATATGAATTTGCCTCTATTATCGAAACAAAATAGTAGGTTCGTTATTAAAATGTATTACTTCGTCTTTTAAATGTAATCCAATTTTGACATTTTTGGTTTTACTATATAATATTTTATTCTTTTTGACATTTTAAAACATGGACGATCTATTAGTCAAAGAATTATCAAAATCGGATTAGTAATTCTGAAGTCAAGTTTGTACGAGTATATCTAAACTCACAAACTTAACTATTTATATTATTATTATTGGTAACCAATAGAAGTTTGTGGAAATCGAACCTGGAACTCAAAACAAATAATTAAATGTATGAACATAATACATGGAACTAAACCCATTCAACTTTTTTTATTTAATAAAATTTTCTTTTCATTAATCATATTTAAATAAACTTAAGTAATTAAATTACGGTTTTTATATACTAGCTATAAATAAATGTTATCTCTAAAAGTGCTGTCCAAGTTTAATTAAATGTCGTCGAAATTATACGTCCAAGGAAGTTTCTAATGCTCAAAATAAATTACAATGGTTTTTTATAGTTCACCAACTTTTTACACTTTTTAGTACACTTTTTAGTAAATATTTTTTTAAACTTCAACCCTTTTAAGAGAATGAGCATGTTTGTTGCTTCTTCACGCACTTATCGCTTCACTGGGTATTAATAACATCTCTATGTAGACAATCAAAATCTTAACATAAAAAAACAACATCTCTGAAATAATGTATAAAATTAAAGTTTTCATCATTACTTTCAAGTAAATTAAAGGTAAAGAAAATAATAATTGTCATTATATTTCAAATAATTTATTAATTTCAAAACAAGACAATTTAATATGAAACATCTAATAAATAATTTTAAACTAGATAATAAATAAATAATTTAACATTCTAATTTTAATTAATAATAATCAACTTCCTGAGTTCCTACCGGAACCGGAACATAAGATAGGGTTACATTCCTCGAAGATACTTCGTATGAGCTCGATTCATTCCGTTTGTATTCTTCTTGTATCTCATCAGTGTCATCCTCTTCTGAATATTCGAAGCCAGATGAACGATTGGTAATGATAGGATTGTTAGTTGGTATGGGTATTGGGAAAGGTACCGGAATGGTTTTAGTTCCTCTACTATAATTGCAATTACAACAATTACAGTTGCCATTTGTGTTTCTCGTTGCCAAAAGCAATACAGTTAGTAAAAGCCCGAGGTCGTCGTCTCCATAGTTGTCGTACGCGATTGGCGTCCCGCCATACGGGTACAACGTTTGTCCTAAAACTCTTTCCTGGAATAGTTTTTGGGTTAATACATATCAGGTTATTGGCATTACTTACTTTTTAAATGTCGTTTTAAATTAATTAGTTTATTTATCATTAATTAAATGAAGTTAATTTTTTTTTAATTATAAGAAAAATACTTTTATCGTACGAATAATTTGCAGGTGCTGATAAATTATCATAATATTTGCACAATTACCTGATGGATAACGAATAATAACGCAATTGGACAAATTTGCAAGATTGTTAACAGTTTCATAACTGCAAAATATTACTTTAACACAAATGTTTGATATCAGAGCTAAACAAGATTTTATATAGATAAAAGAACCAAATGAATATGAAGTTATATGTCTTTAGTTGCGTCAGATTATGTTTTGATATCTAATCTTATAAATTATTTCACATATATAAAACGCACGTGCCGTTAAAATAAACTAAATTTAGCTAATATTTACATAAAAAGCTACGTAACAAGTATTTATGAAAAAATGAAAGGCAATAAATATATTTAGAATCATATTTATCTATAAAATAAATTATTTACAACTTAAAAATATTTTGTATGCTTGCATGGCATGCATTTGCTTTGATCAAACACAGCAGATACTTTACTTTGTTTTATTATCTTCATGGTCTCTATGCCCTCGTTTACGAGAGGAGCATGAAGATTTTGAATTATTAATAATAGGATTGTTAACGGGTATTGGTATAGGATAAGGAATCGGTATTGGATTATCTGTATCAGGATTGCAATTACAGCAGCAGCAGCCTCCACCACAACAGCCACGGTCACTGAATAAAGCTATTAATATTATTGGCAATATTTTCCTCCAACTTGATCTTGATTTTCTCATAATCAGTGGTGGCGGAGGTGGCGAAAATCCAAATGGTGGGAAAAGACCTGGTTCTTCTGTATTTGTGCTGGCTACTGGTTGTGGTGAAGCAGAAACTACAGTTATTCTTGGTGCGGGTATACTCTGTGAGGGCAGATTTATTTGGAGATTTAATGGAAAGCCGTTGTTATCGCCTTCACTTGTTATGACGTTGGGCTCTTGGACTCCTACTAGATTTGATCTGCTTAAAATTTCTAACAAACCAGAATTAGTATTGATTTCCGGTAAACTTGAACAAGGAGGACTAATCTGTAAATTGATGGGAAGGGGACTCGCTTCTGTATATGTGATCGGATTTACAGGAACATAGTTGTGGCCATCATTTAGGAGCTTTGGTAATTGCCATACAGTAGGTGAATTTTGAACTACATTCCCATAACTCTGTACAGCGTTGGAACCTTGTGGAATTGTAAAAAAACTATTAAGAGATATTGGTGCTGATACAGCAGAAGGTTGTATAGATTGTATGGGCACAACCGACGCAGATGGAATAGGTGAGCTGAATAAAATATTTGAAGTTGGATTTGCTATCACTGCCGGTGGACTAAATACTATTGGTTCTTTAGTATTACATGTAGGTATTTTAGGTTGGAAAGATATGAAATTGAAATTTTGCGGTCTGTCATCTATCATGCCCATCCCTACGGGCTTTTCTGGTTGTACTATAGGTTGAACAATTGGTCCAGATCTTTCCGGAAATGCACCGTTAGAAGCTAGCGATAGCAATGTACTCATGAGTTGTGACTCCGATGATGGCTTTGAACCTATATTCATAAGGCCTGGTGGAATTGTTGACCTCGAAACTACCTCAGACGGCACATTTTGGCAGAAAATGCAGACATTCTGTAAATATAATACATGATTTTAAAAACTATTTTGATTTCAAGGGAATTATATTTTTTTCTTAATAAATGAATTCCTTACAAGTAGAAAGAAGTAAAAAAAGCAGTAAATAGTCCACCCTCGTGGATTCTCCATCTCGGATGATTGTTAAAAAAGTAATTATTTTCTTTTATACAACAAGAGAGTTCTGGTTTTATCTTGCCATCATAAATTTGTCAATTTTATGTATAAAATATTATCAAAATTAAGAAATGCCTTTCCCAACCGATGATTATCGTTGACAGTGTTCATGAAATTAGGAAAAAATAATGAAATCCGAGTAAATATTTTTAGATGATTCTAGATTAATTTGATGAAATTTGATTATTTTAAAACGTTATATATGCATAAGGTAGCCAATAAGGGCTATTTTTATCTCAGGAATCACTTGATATAAGTAGGATGTTACGTTACGACTACTTATGTCGAAATTCTAGCTTTTATTTACGTACAACAATATACAAAAATTCGGGCAAATAGTTACACATATATTTATTTGCCTTACGTTATAAGGTACATTTATCTATATAACTAATAAAAAAAATATTTATATTAAAAAAAGAAATGCTGTGCGTTGGCATAATCGCATCACTTGAGAACGGTTAGATCGACATCAATTATTTTCTAAAACATCCATAATGCTTAAGGGAAGAAATTTTAAAATTGGATAAATTGCCCAGAGTATTGGGACATTCAGGTGACCTAAGAGTCTTTTATTCTACAGGATTATAAATTCAAATATCAGGACAACGTGCTCTTAGGTCTGGTTGTCAGCATTATATTTGTCCCACGTATTTTAGTTAAAAACACATCGTTTTTATCGTTTACGTTTATATTTTGTACAAAACATGAGCTTTATAATCTATTTCCAGCTATTTTCATTGTAATTTCTAAACAAGTACACTAAATAAAATAATGATTCAAACTAAATATATACATTTCTTTGTTACAGGTGAGCTGATAAAATATGTAGACGACTAATGATCCACAAAGGTACGTTTTCATATTTAACAAAGTGGGTAATAAATAAATTATGGTAGGCGTAACACGTCTATTACATGTACCATTACAACTAAATTTATGCAATTTTTATCAATATTACTCGAATTATCATTTATAGACTTTGAAGTACTGTTAATTTATTGTTTATCAAAACAAAATCTAAAAACATTATATATTTGAAAATATTTACACATAGGTGGTTGTCCTTACTTCACGTCTTTATTGCCTAAACAAGCACTGTGGGCGAATACGATAATTCAATATTCCTTATTGAATTATCGTATATTATCTTCAACCTAATATTTTTAAGTATAACGTCTTTTTTATCATTTTTGTTCATAGTTATGTTTCTTCGGTGTAGCTTTACTTCTATACATATAACATTCTTCTTCTTCTTCTCCCTGCCCATTTCCCAATCACTTGGGGTCGGCGCAGTACATCTTCTGTACTGCTGACAGGATTGGGCAAAAGTTTTACAACCGGCCGCCTGCCTGACGTCAACCCTCCTTGGGAATGCTATTGTCTCTCTTTAATATTAAATACATATAATATCAATACATATAATAAAATTGTAAATAAGCCGAATCTGTACACTAAATACTTTTTGGAAAATTTTATTGAAATAAACATTATTATCGATACAGAGGCTAAATCTATAGTTTTTAGAATTTTTTCTGTCTGTCTGTCTGTAACCGCATCACAGAAAAACCACTGGAGGTATTTTGATGAAATTTGGTATGGATATAGCTGGTTATCCGGATCAACATATAGGATACTTTTTACCGAGGGAAAATATCTCATTTCTGAGAAAAAATGCAAAAACTGCAATGTACGAGTACTACTACTAGTACTCGTAGTAGTTACTAATATGTAAAACCTAAGAATTTGGTTTTTGGTCATCTGAACGCGGGCGGAGCCGCGGGCAATGCTAGTATATTATAAATTCAATTAAAGTGTAAATAAAATCTTTAAAACTTGTCTTCGTTATATTTATTTAATTTAATTTTTAATATTGTGTTTTTGTGTTCTGCCGACTTGATTTAAATTTTGTTAGTAAAGTGTCGATTCTTTTCTCTTGCAACTGGCGGGTGAGTAGGTACGAAAGTATACTTGCAAATTTAATTTTTATTATATTATATTATTATTATTTATTTATTTATTTTTGTTATTTTATACTAGCATTATTTTATTTATATAAATAATTATATATATACATATTTATAGTTTTGATATCTTTGGTACGTATTTGACTTTTATTCTTTGTATTATTATATAAAAATATATATTGGATATTGTTTTAGTATATTATATTTATTTATTATATAGAACATACATATAAAATGATAAATGATTACAGTGTAAATGAATCTTTTATGTCCTTTCCCTCCCCCTCTGAAGGTGCTAGCAGCAACGACAGTTTTCATAGTATCCTAACCCTGAATGAAACTCTTGATTTGCACTTCTCAGATGTCTTGAAAAATTTTAATCTAATTCATATTAATGCACAGAGTATTCCAGCACATTATTCCGATATGTTATCTTGTCTTAACAATAAAAACATACACGCGGTTTTAGTCTCTGAGTCGTGGCTTAAGCCATGTCTCCCATCAAGCTCGTATGGGCTCCCAGGATTTCATTTGATTAGAAATGATCGCATTGGAAGAGGCGGCGGAGGTGTTGCCATCTACCTGCGTTCCCATATTCCCTTTTCCATTATAGACATGTCTCAGTCACAGGATAACGTAGAGGCGGAACACATGTTTATTGAGATTATTTTCTCTAATATTAAAATACTATTGGGGGTGTTTTATAATCCCAGTCTCACGATTGATTATTTCTCCTCATTTGAAATCCTGTTAGACAAGTATAGGCCTCTCTATGATCATGCCGTGATTATGGGTGATTTCAATACTTGTCTTCTAAAGAACGATCACCGAGCTAATCGCCTCCGTTGCTTAGTTGATGGAGCGAATTTAAATATTCTTCCATTAGACGCTACCCATTACTTCCCAAATTGCAGTCCCTCGCTCCTTGATCTTATAATTGTTTCTTCCACTGATCATGTTGCTAAGCATGGTCAGTGCTCTGCTCCAGAGTTTTCCTTTCATGACCTTATTTTTCTATCTTATAAATTAAAGCCGCCAAAAGCTAAATCAAGAATTCTTCTGCAGCGCAATTTTGGTAGTATGGACGTGGAACGTTTGCGAGAAGACGCTGAACGGATTGACTGGGGGGTGGTTTCAAAGGCGGAAACCATTGATGAGCAAATGTCAATATTTACTTCACTTCTGATTGGGCTTTATGACATTCACGCTCCTGTTCGACCTGTCCGAATGAAGCATCTTCCGGCTCCATGGCTTACCCCTGAGATTAAAAAACTGCAAAACAAAAAATATATGGCCAAATCGAAATATGCTGCAAATCCCAATGACAATAACAAAAGAAAATATATCAAGGCGCGTAATCGTTGCAATATGGTGTGTAGAGATAGCCAACGACGCCATATCTATAAATCTGTGATTGAAGAAGAAGATTCAGATAAAATCTGGAATTTTCTCAAATCTATTGGAGTAGGGAAGACACAAAATAATATTAATCCTCATAATATCGATTTAAATCTGTTAAATCAGCACTTCTCACTTTCAGGTACTATTGATAGTACAAAAAAGGTTACCACAATAAATCATCTTTCAGCTTCACCTACTCCTGATATTCCGCATTTTCAATTTAGTCAATTCTCCATAAGTGATGTTAAGAGAAATATTTTGTCTATAAAATCCAATGCTGTTGGGGCCGACTGCATTAGTCGTAAAATGATCGTTCCCGTCCTTGAAATAATAGCTCCTACAATCACTTCAATCTTAAATTTTTCCTTATGCTCCCATAAATTTCCTACTTCCTGGAAAGATGGACAAATAATTCCTATACCGAAAAAATCTAATCCTTCTTCTTTTTCCGATTATCGTCCAATTTCTATTCTCCCTTTCTTGTCGAAAGTGCTGGAGCGACTTGTGCACCGACAGCTAAGTACTTTTCTTTACAATCACAAATTGTTAAATCCCTTTCAATCCGGTTTCCGCATCGGTCATAGTACGACTACTGCCTTGGTCAAAATTGCAGATGATATTAGAGAAGGTATGAACAGCCAGAAAGTTACCATATTGACATTATTGGATTTCAGTAATGCCTTCAATACTGTAGATTTTGATATCCTACTTGCCATATTATCTTCTCTTAACATATCTCCTGAGGTGATTGATTGGTTTCGTAGTTACTTGTGCGGGCGCCGGCAACGCATACGAATTGAAGATCTTTTCTCTGATTGGTCTATGGTTAAAGCCGGTGTACCACAAGGTGGCGTGTTGTCTCCTCTCTTATTTGCGATTTTCATTAATTCTATTCCCCATCAAATCTCTTCTCTCTACCACCTATATGCGGACGACTTACAAATTTACACATCGTCATCTGTGCCAGACTTACCTCATGCAATTAGTTTAATTAATAGAGATCTGTCCTGTATTTCAGCATGGAGTGAATCTTATGGCCTTGATATTAATCCTTCTAAATCACAAGCAATTATAATAGGCAGCCAGAGGTTACTATCAAAAATATCACGATCTGGGACGCCACCGGTTATATTGAATGGTGTCGAAATTCAGTATTCTGATAAGGTAAAGAACCTGGGGATCATTTTTGACCAATATTTATCTTGGGCACCACAGGTAAGTGAACTGAGCCGAAAGATGTTTGGTGTAGTTTCCGCTCTTCGGAGGTTGCGAAATTTTTTGCCCATATCAACCAAAATTGCACTAGCAAATTCACTCCTTCTACCAATTCTTGATTACGCTGATACTTGCTATCTTGACGTTAAAGTGGAGCATCTAAATAGA